GCCAATCAAACGCTAAGATTCGTACCTGCTAAAATACTAGCCCAACTCGCTTTGTAAACATTTGCCAACGTTTTCAGTTCACCAGTGGCTAAAATTGTCTTGAGATGGGCGTTGCCACATGCTGTTTTGAGTGCCGATACCTCATCATAGACAGCTAAAAAAACCTAATGCGAATACAGAGCATAAAAAGAGGGAAAACGAATTTCTGGCAAAAAAAAATGAACAAAGTAATTTGTCTGGAAAAGGAAACATACTTTTCCAATCGCCCTCGAGAGCTGCGGCACGACTTATGACAATATCTATCTCTGTAGCACCGTCAGCTACTGTCAACTCCACTTCTAACAGCTTCGACTTCAAATGGTATTGCCCTGATGGGAAACCTGCGGCAACTGAAATAACTGCTGTCTTCACTGATTCGCATTCGATGCATCACAATCCAATACGAACCCGCTGCAACATTGAACTTCCTCTTTGTACCGTTCAGATGTTGCACCACATCGTGCACTCGTTGCGGATAAACACATACCGCAGCACAAGTAGTCGAAGAGTCCTGAAGAGATAATTCTCTTAAAATACTGTTCTTCTTTGTCTTTTCATAATGCTCGTTTCATTTTACCTCTCTACTTCCGAGTCTGCTTTTCTTCAACTCCCACTTCTCCCACGTATTATACCGTTTGTTCTACTAACTAATTAACACGTTGACGACATCGCATGTTTTGGCATTTTGCACCTCGTGGGACAGGAGCGATTTTGCGACCGCGCCGTCCTCACCTTACTTCCGCTTATTTTTTGTTAAAAATGCACAATAACTTGAATTTCATAGGACTATTTCGGCAAGGATGAAAGCATAAAGGTTAACTATATAAGTAGCAGTAGGTTTTGTTTAGAAGAGCGCATAATGACCACGAAGAAGTAAAAAACATCACTTTCGCTGCGAATGAAATTAAAAGCATTTATATCTAAGTACTCCATCAAATCAAATATATTGAAACTCACAGAGTTTTGTTTCAACTAACTCTACAATCTTTCATAAGAATATTGACGGCAGTGAAAGGAATTACTAAGAAAGAATCGGAACGAAAGTTTTGTGCGTTCAGAAAATCTTTGCTAAATCAAAAGATATTTGACCACTCTGGCTGCCATGCGGTTTATAGTTATGCTAATGTATTATCTATAGAATGAATACAAAAACCCGAGAAGAAGGAGCGCAAGCACGATAAAAGTGAGTAGCATAGACTTGACGCGCTTGCGCGTCAGAATGTCCGATGCGGTGCGAAATTCTTGACGCGCATGCGCGTCAGCTTCGTCAACGTGTTAAAGCGTTATTAGCCTTATTCGTTATTCTACTAAAAGGACGAATTTCACGCGGGGGAGGCAACCCATCTCAAATGAAAATTAAGACGATATGAGTGGCCACACTAAGAAAACGGAACAAAAACTATGAGAACAGGCCGACTCAGAAGCCGAATAGCAGCAGAAGCAACAGGAGGACCAGGAAAAATGGCGAACGGAAAATAACGGCAGATCGGGCGCTTCACGCTGAAGAACAGTGTAGTTGACGCGATCGGTTACGAGTTATCTACGCCTCGTCGCGCACAAGCCGCAAAAGAGGGCCGAAGAAATGAATCAACAGATGGCCCCATACAGATCTACTGACCATCCCTGAGAATCGTTAAAGCAATGAGCGCGCCTGTATGACGTAGTGGGATTTCACTATCGAGTCAACTCAATTGATTATAGCGAGTGAATTAAGCATCTATTTTGAGAGTAAAGATGTCTCAAACGGTTAACACAGAAAATGAGGACGACGCACTAATCTTATAGAGCAGACATGATGAAAGAGGCATTCGATTGGGAAATGTTTATCGCTAACCGACTGGTTTTGAAGCCAACCTGCCAATAAAAATCGCTATTAGGCAAAAAAAGCCTTAGAAGGTGCGACCGTTAAGGGGACACAACTAATTTGTGCTGTAAGTATCGAATTGCATCTCTTGAGAGTCTAAACACATGACAAATGCGACTTCCAAAGTTGCGTTTGTGGTTTCTTTCCCGGTTGAAGTTTTGATGAAGTCAGAGCCTGAAATGAATTAAGATTTCGTCCCGCCAATCAAACGCTAAGATTCGTACCTGCTAAAATACTAGCCCAACTCGCTTTGTAAACATTTGCCAACGTTTTCAGTTCACCAGTGGCTAAAATTGTCTTGAGATGGGCGTTGCCACATGCTGTTTTGAGTGCCGATACCTTCATCATAGACAGCTGAAAAAAAACCTAATGCGAATACAGAGCAAAAAAAGAGGGAAAACGAATTTCTGGCAAAAAAAAATGAACAAAGTAATTTGTCTAGGAAAAGGGAAACATCTACTTTTCCAATCGACCTCGAGAAGCTGGGCACGACATATATGACAATATCTATCATCGTGCACCGTCAGCTACTGTCAACTCCACTTCTAACAGCTTCGACTTCAAATGGTATTGCCCTGATGGGAAACCTGCGGCAACTGAAAGAACTGCTGTCTTCACTGATTCGCATTCGATGCATCACAATCCAATACGAACCCGCTGCAACATTGAACTTCCTCTTTGTACCGTTCAGATGTTGCACCACATCGTGCACTCGTTGCGGATAAACACATACCGCAGCACAAGTAGTCGAAGAGTCCTGAAGAGATAATTCTCTTAAAATACTGTTCTTCTTTGTCTTTTCATAATGCTCGTTTCATTTTACCTCTCTACTTCCGAGTCTGCTTTTCTTCAACTCCCACTTCTCCCACGTATTATACCGTTTGTTCTACTAACTAATTAATAAGAAGAGAAATTTTGGAGCAATACCTCTTGACGACTACTACAGTCCTAATTTCGCAAGGATAGGATACTTTGGAATGGACGAACCACTCCCTTGTGCGAAAAAGAACTAGATGAGCATTAACAATTCAAAACCTTTATAACAAGAGGCGTTTAAATACCTTTTGACTACCGGATATTCAGCACAAAAATGAGCCCTCCCCCCTACTAGCTTCCCATTGCTTGAAAATCTCACTCCCGCTCCACTCCTTACAGGGAAAAGAAAAAAGACACTCTGCTCATCCACACGTCAGCAAGCTTGAATTCGCGCCCTTGCCGTAGTAGATGAAAGCGTTTCGGCAAAACATTGATGTTCCTCCTCCCTCATACGCAGTCGCAAGCCCGTTCGCTGCGAATATGACTACATAGTTGTCGAGTTAAGGTCTTTCGTAATTATTACAGCCTGCCGCAGCTACATAATTTCTTCAACCGGTTGCTCGATGTTATAGCTTTCCAAAGATCGCAACTCTGCTATTGCCAGATCCCTTACGACTAGCCTTTCAGCAGCGTCGCAAAGTCTACGATTAGCAAACGAGATTCAGTTTTCAACGCGGAATTAAGTAACCCTTTTTGACCATCCCTGTATACTGTTCACATTTCAGGTGCAAGGTTCCACGACAATTACTGCAGAAATTCCAAAAAGTTCTTAGATGGAACCTAAAAAACACTGACAACTGTTTTATAGGGAGGACACAAGTGGGGGTCGCTCCGAAAACGTACCCACTGAACAATGAGCAATGCACGCGTGAAAAGATTAGAGCGACGATGCCCATACTATACTTGGGTTTTTGCTGCTTCCCTTATCACAGCCACAATGAAAACGCGATAGGCAAAACGTCGAATGTGAGGAACAGAACCATAACATCCAAGTTAATTATATACAGTGCGTGTGAGAAGTATGTGAGCATCAACAATTTTTTTTCTTCTTATATAAGATCCTTCTGTGATTTGCACCATTAGACCGCCACCATTCAGGTTTTCGTATCGGAAACCTTGAAATCATTTAATTCTCGCACTTACAAGCATCTTCAGATTTGTTTTATTGGTGGAAAAACTTCCCTGTAACACAAGTATATAAACATTTTCATAAAAAAAGATAGCCCCAGAATCAACAATCGACAGACCTACCGCTTCTAATAACTCAGACATTCCATTCGGCATGCTCATTACCAGCTTCTGATAGTTGTCCCGTCGATCTACCCCAACCAGCTAATTTCACCAACATGTAAGGTGACACCTGCGGTATTATTCGTTCGTTCAGTGAAGTAGAGACAGCGGACCGCGATGCTCACACGTTTCCAATAAGGCTGTGGTCTTGAAATATACTGACCACTTCCAAAAACCTTTGCTTTTAGCATTTTTCAAATGGAACACGTGGTATGGTCGTCCATTAGAGCATGGCGCGAAGCAAGTGTTTTGCGATACTGAGTTCTCGAAAAAGGATCTAGTCGAGATTCAAGCGCCTCATTATAATCCTAACAGTCCACCTGATATTAGGGTAAGCTAATCCCCAATTTCCCCGCAAAGTTATCTAAAATCGAAAGTTCCACAGAGTATCTTTTATTTGAATATACCATCTTTACAAAAAGATTGCCTGTTCCTGTTCAATGTCCAAACGATGTAGCCGTCTTTAAAATAAGAATTTCAGACTTCCTACGTATGCTGTACACCCTAACACGAAACAGACTTCAACTTATCCCGTCTCGGGTACCAATATGATTGAACAAAACGTCCATAAGTCACTTTTAGGACCGGCCATTTCGGCTCGACCTTGATAGCAGGTGAAGGAAAAATTGAGTCGACACAGGCTATTCTTCTGATGTTTTAAGCCGGTGAATATTGAGGAGCACCTATAATGAGTGTCGAGAGGTAAGCATCGGGATTCTGAATCTATTTCCACATATGAGGGCACATGCGAGCTGATGCGCGATTTTTTAATCCAAGGGTACACCAATTAGCCTGTGCTTGTTCCTCTTTAAGAGAATTAGTTCCGTTATATTAATTTACCGTACAGAGGAATAATGGCAGAATAGGCAGTGAAAGGAAAAGTAAAAAGAATCAGGAAAATTGGCGCACAAACTTGATCTAGACATCTTGGGATGGTGCCGGAAATACAATTATGTGTTACCGACCACAGGGAATTGAGTAGCAGAAGTTGAGCGAAAAATCTTAACTGATTCCTACAAATCAATTAAATGGTGTCCACATACATTTGACACGCATTGTTCACACACTACTATCAAAATTCGTGTAAGCACAAATTATGAAATGAACCGTGACAAGCAACTCACACCAGGAACTGGAGACAATGCTTTGTCCACAAGCGCCACAACTCTACTTTTGGTGTCATCTCCGGCCAGCGTGGTCAGATCAATGTAGCCAACAACCTTTCGCACCTCTTCTTTCTAAAAAAAACGGATTATCTAATCACTGCAACCTCAAGCGCCCACAGCAGTGGGAAAACCGTCGGGGGTTCTGCTGAGATTAACCTTAAGGAGATTAACAAAGATTACAAACATGAAATTCATTTTTGCAAAATTTACCCCAGTCAACGTATCGATCGAGGGGGGCGCGCCAGCCACAACGGGAGTGATCGCGCCCATCGCGCGATTGGAGCGATTGGTCATGATGGGAGTCATGTCAATCGCGCGATGGTCGCGCGATTGACATTTGACCCGATCGCTCCAATCGCAGAGTCTGACATCGGCCATTGAGGACAAGTGCTCCAAATCACTAGCACCTAAGACAAAGTTATTACGTAGTTGGCGCACCAGGCTAGCATAAACTTTTGATTCGACGACAATGTCAAGTTGAGCTAACTCCAGCCTCTAAGTGCCACTAGCGATGAATTCAGAACCTGCTCCTTTTCATTGAAGAGCGCGCAGATATATAAACCGGTGTACCGAAGCGGCGCTGCGCCAGGCCCTCCCTCCACAATACTCTCTTAAGAGCCCGAATGACGATCAAGTCGTTTGGCATCGAATTCCTCGCATATTAGCCGCATGTGCAGACTTTGGTGAGGTGGAGCGATTTGGGTCGAAGCGGTGCGGGCGCGACGAATCGCGGACTGACATGTCACCCATCATGGACAATCGGCTCCATCGCGCGGATGGCAGCGATGCACTTCCCTGTGTAAGCAGCGCCGCCAGGTAGTTAGTACTACAGATCGATACACCCAGTCAACGCGAATTCGAATTCAGAGGGCAACGGAAAGCGCGCAAGCCACAACGGAGCGAAATTCGCGCCGCATCGCGGCGATATGGAGGATTGGTTATGAATGGGAGTTCATGCCAATCGGCACGAATGGTCGCGCGAATTGACAGGTTGACCGAATCGCTGCGAGTGATGCGCAGAGTTCTGAACATCGCGGCATTGAGGACAAAGTTAGCTGGCCAATAGACCTGGTAGCACCCAAGTGACAAGTGATCAATATTCTCGGGTGAACAGGGACTTGAGCCCATTTCCGAAGTTACAGTGAATTTGGTGAAACAGGTGTTACCTTCGCCTCCAAATGACCAGAAATTGTGCAATTGCAGAAATTGATCGTGGCATTGGCACACGTGGCCAAACTCTCCGATGACAAAGAGCGAGTCAACGTGTCCCGCTCAATAGATTTCGATTTGAATTACGTCCACGTTAATGCACGATCAACTTCTGCAATGCCCACAATTGTCGGGTCATTGTCGAAGCGAGGGCCGTGTCATCCAGTAAGGGCATTCAAGTGGCTGCCCATCACCCCACCCTCAGACATACCTACACTCCCATCGGCGCGCGAATCGGTTTTTCTCGAACGTTACCGAGACCTCCGGTGCAGACAGGCGGAGTAGTCTTACTCAAGGACCCATAATGAACTACCATTGAGAAGGAGATAACAAAACTTTGCTAGCAAACGTTTTCTGAACGAACTTAACCAACCAGCTTCACTAAGTTTGCAGCTTCTTTCTCATAGCTAGCCGTAACTGCAGCAATTTCCTTCGAATCGAAATTGCGAGATGTTTCTCTGTCAAACAGCGCTTTATCGAACCCTCCCATTTGACCCTAAACAGAAGACATCGGGAGAGAAAGGAAGCAGAGTTGGAAGCTCCCCGAAGGATGACGAATACATGGCGTAGACAATCGACTTCAAAACAATGAACTCAAACTACAATTGAGGAACCAATGAGAGAGCTGAATCATGAATCATCACATGCGACAAGGTCTCACAAAAAATACTGCTCATGTGATTGCGTACATGAAGCGACTACCGTAACTTCACGCCTGGGAGCACCGTGAGAATCGGTCGAGGATTCTTCAACGACTCGACTAGGATGCGCATGTTCAGCCACGCTCTCCCGCGCGGACATTCACTCTCGCCATGCGCGAGCCGTCTGTGCTCTGCGCACATTCACTCTCGGCACTATTCTCACACAGTACAGAGCCATGGTCGAGGATTTCCTCGACCGTTAATCACGCTGCCTCGAGGTGTGTCGATAGGGCAGAAGCGAGTTTCTCGCTTTTGGCAGCACGAAACTTTCCACTGAGGGAACTCTCAGATCTACCCCTTGAGCGGGCCTGGGGTCCCGTGGCAGGAATTCACACTACAAGAAACGAAAAAGTAGCATTTATCATAGCAACCCACATCCTAAGCCTAGTGTCATACTAAGCTTTCCCTCACCATTAGTCACGCTCGCTTTCTTTTGATAAAAATTTAACGGAGGTGTGTGGTGCCGCAATGGCCGATGTCAGACTTTGCGATTGGAGCGATTTTGCACCAATTGCAGGAGCGACGGATCGCTTGAGCGATGCGAGCGACGGGAGATTTACACCGCCGACCACCGATAATTCGGCGCCATCAGTTCGTAAATCTCCCGTCGCTCGCATCGCTCAAGCGATCCGTCGCTCCTGCAATTGGTGCAAAATCGCTCCAATCGCAGTCTGACATCGGCAATACAGTTCTCACTGCGAAATGAACACAAAGGGAAATCTCGTAAGATTCACATTTAGGGTGAAGTAAAAAGAAGCGGAAAAATTCGTTAAGCACCACAAAAGCCAGCAGTGAAGTGAGCGATACTAAAAATAATAAAAAAATATGTATATGCCAGGCTTATTACCAGATTAACAAATGCCGAAAATTCAGGTAAGCTAAGCAACTATTATAGGATTTTATTATGAGATTGACATCCACTAGAAACCATTGCATATATGTACACTATTAAACAACACTCGAACATGAATACGCTTTTATGTTGGATGATGAGATATTGATAGTAACCATAAAAGAGATCAACTATGAGAGTGCATCAACATATTAGACAACAATGAGCCAAGAACCTGGCAGGAACCAGATAATGATTCGATATATATTGTCGTCCCATAATTCCTGGCCGAATTTCGATACTTTGATTTTTCAAGTTTTATCTTTCCTAAAACAATGATCAAAAATATAACCACCATCATAATCACTGATATGCATCCATTTGCTAGGGAACGAATGGATGCATTCCTCCCAGAACGAGTGAAGCTGTGGGATGAAAAGTTCGGAGAGGTCGTTTTTGGGGTGTTGTAGCTGTATTACACTGACTTTTTTCTCTCCAAGCTGCTGCTTCAGAGCGGTGCGGAGGGGGTAGTACGATGGAGTATTTCTGGGTACAACAGTTGTGGTACCGAGGTCGTGCCAGTTCCCTCAAAACGTGGCGAGCTATGTTTGCAATGTGATGTCGGGCCTTCATTCGATGTTTTAAAGACGTTTTGAAAAGTTCTGCCGAATTACTGCGGCCAACTTTGGGAGCTATTCCATGGTTACCTTCGCAATGCTTGTCTGCATAAAGTGAAAGTGGTTCTCAAAACGGGATACCCAGCGAATCCAACAAACCGGGGGTAATATCTTTGATGAAGAGCTCGGGCTTTGGTTGAGATTGTGGCCCCAGCCTGTGAGGTAGCCACCAGGCGGGGTATTCCATCAGACGCGGCACGCGCGTTGTTATCATGGTAGGCTCATGACTCATCTGCACTGGTGGCCAATTGGGGAATGTCCTGTCTATGCGGTCGCAGAAATGAAACTTTCACCAAGGCACAGACGTGCTTTCTCGGCCATGGTAAATCGATGCATGCTGCTTCCATCGAGACTGCATTCCACCGGATGTTTGCAACAGTTTCCTGTTAATAGCATCCTGATGCGCTTCCGATACTTAGCGCTAAGGGTCCTTATCGAAAGCGACTGGAGGTCTCGAACCTTATGCCATTGCCGATGCTATTGAGCCAATAGCTCAGTGCCCGATCAGTAGCAAAGACTGGGGCAAACGTAGCGCTGATCTTGCCTACCGCGCTCCTTGCAAGGTTCTTCTTAAAATTGTCGTAAGGCATAATCGTTGGGTTTGGTTGTTGATCTTTTGATTCCTACTTAATTATCCCGTTGCGCATTTGAGCTTCTGAAACATCCTGGCTGAAGGTCCTGATGTGTTCTTCAACATATCAACTTATTTCATATGAAGCTAATTTGACATGAAGCCGTTTGAATTTGAACAAAAATCGGTCGGGAATCATGGGACAACCCAATAATTAGAGAATCTGTGAAAAACGAATAAAAACTAGCCTTAAATATTTGAGGATATTTGCGGGGATTTCAAAACAACGCAACCAATCATCACGATTACCAGTTAAAATGTAAAGGTTTTTGTTGGTTATTTCGTTTAAACCAAGTTTTTCCTTTCTTAATTGACCAGAAAACACTGCGTTGGAAAAAACACTACCGTTCCCCAGACAAAAGCCGTGCACTCCGTCTTCAATTTCCGAGAAAACAACTAGCATTCCTGGGGAGGACACAAGAACAAACACAGAGGGAGCAATGCAATGCGGAGGCACTACGAAAGAGCACCCTATAAAGCGGAAACAACGAATAACGCGAAGATCCCTATTCATAGTAAATAAGCAGCCTCGTTCTGTGACGGCGTAGACGTAATCGTCGAAAATGGCTACAGAAGCAAATATAGGCTCCATGATCGTGACAACGCATTCCTAAGATATTGTGCACTGCATCTTTCGACAACATTGAGCAACAGCGATACTGACCTTCATTCCGCTGTCTAATCGTATTTTGGTTATGGTACCGTCAACTGATGAGACATAACCAATGTTCGTTGAGAAGTGTAACGGACGAAAATATTGGAGAATCTAATTGACAGACCCAGCGATGTTCGCCGCTATTCTGAAGTGCAATTGGGCTCATAATGGCGATGGACGAATGCTACATTTCAAATTAACCATCACAAACGGCAGACGGCAGAAAGAGAAGGAAAGTAAAGGACAACAATGACACAAGAGAAGCTAATCGCAAAGTTTTTTTGGAGCTATGCTGAAAAAATAAATCGAAGAAAAAAAATTGAGATTCAAATTCTAAGCACTAAGCAGGACATATGGACACCAAAAACGATAAGAGAGGAGCGTGGTGCCTATCGTGCTCGTGATACAGTTGAAGAGTGAAGCTAAAGCCGCTAAGAAAACATCAAAAATCAATGGTCGTGCCGAAAAAGAGAGAAGTCTAGGAATGAAAATTAGATCAAGGTCAGACACTAGATAAACCAGACGTATCACAGAAGTGATGAATGAACCAGACGGTATCCTGAAGAAACGCGTGGGCTTTTGGAAGCGAAACTGACCGAATCAAAAGCTTCAACACTGCCTCTAATGGTTGTCACAAAAACAGATTCATTCCAGAAAACTACCTTCGCTGGAGAACCACTTTGGATTTTGCGGGACCAGCAGCAATTTTTGAGCTGAAAGCGAGCTTGTTGCCCAATAAAATGCAACCCACACTCATGAAAAATATATTAAACTGAAATATAGCACACCTTGCTGTTGAGTTTATAGAGGTTCTTATCGTATGATGGAACGTAGACAAATCCATTCTCATCTGTCACACATGCTGCTTTGACAATATCACCGGTAGAAAATTTCCATTCCGAAGAACCCGTAAATACAGACAAGAAATAGATACACCCATCTAATCCACCTGAAATAAAGAGTTGGAGCTAAAAGTCTTTTGTGGTGAGAAGGCGAATCCCACTAGAATGCATTACTACAAGGAGAAAAGAAATGGGGCGGATACATTGTCTACAAATTAGCAATGAGTTCGATAAGGCGATAGAAAATGTACGCACCCACGACAACATAGTTATCACAGAGTGTCACGGAAGCCTCAAATCGACACTGGAGCCGATTCTGAATAAATGAAATGTGAAGAGAAAGATTGCAGTTGAAATATCACTGTTACCTCCCACCGACAGAAGCCATCCTTGACGCGAATGCATACGACAAGACCAGAATGAGAAGCAGCGACAACATAGACTTCTTCGGGTATTCTTCAAGAAATAGATGTTCAAATTGAAACCAGTTTTGCTCCACATTATAACGTGTGCATCACGCGGAAAGCCAGTGACAGTGATCAGGGCAACTAAAAAGTTGATTCGGGGTTCATTTACCACGGCGCATACTTGCAGAAAAGCTTAACCGACCTCCTTCGCTAGTCTTCATCTCGTTATTTTTCGGGCTCCGCGCAGTTTTTTTCAATTATTTGGCAAAAGTCTGCAGCCAACTGAATCCACTTCAATACACATACCACCCACAATTAGCACATGACCTTGCCTCCCTCGACAACTTTATCCTTTGTCACGGCCTGGGCTAACTCTGAACCATTTATAAGCTTTGTGACAAAATGCGCGGCACAGGCCCCGTTCATCAATAATGATCGACTCCCTTCACTGTCAGCTCTATATATTTTTCCCGGACTCTTCGTAGTCTTTGAAGACAGGTGTCAGGATTTGGTAAAAGTCCCGCCCAATTGAGAACACCCTCTGCCCATAGAGGGTGAGCCTCTACTCAATCGAGGGTTCCCGGCACATTAAAATATAGCCCTTCTGCACCAACTTTGTAGACTATGGAGAGCCCCGCATACCACTGATGACTCTCTAATTTAACTTGGAAAACACAGTGCACATTGTTACCCATTTTTCACGGTCTCCGGGTTGCTTCGCCATCTAGTTTAAAACCTTCTCTGGCCGCACACTGTTTCGGTGAATGCCCTGCTTGTGGGAAGGAGTGGGGATGGGTTCGTGTGTCCACTTACATTCTGTCCACGCCCTATCCGTCCGACACTTAACCCAGCCTCCGCAGGTGACTATTCAGTGATGGTGATGCTGGGTCGCCACACCTACCACACACTCCAAACATACACCCCACACAAATACAGATTTGGCGCCTTGTATTCAGTCAGTACGGACTATCACAAATATTCGAAAGGAATGAATATTGACATACTTAACCAGCAGTGGCGTGCTGTCGATACACTTTCCAGTGTAGAAGGCCCAATTTGTAATCGGTTGTGGATCTACAGTTATCACCAAGTCTTTGGCAACATTACTCGGAGTGACTCTGTCCTGATCTTAATTCATGGTTGTTAAGTGGGTAACAAGGAAATTTGCATCGAATACGGAGATTATCCAAAAGGCAACCTGACGCACGGCATAATCCGGCCCAATACTTTTTAAGCACCTTAGCTATAGTGTTTTGAGGAGACAAGATGTCGTGCAATGCTTCTACTTTTCCCAAATGTAGTGCTATCTCGGCCGCTTCAGTAGAACGAATCCCTGAAGAAAGAAAGATGCTCCACCTTCTCTTCATCTGCGGAGCCAGACACCTATCATAATCAATGAAGCACTTACCATAGTCAAGGAAAGAGTGGAATGAGAAGTCAACAGTAGATGTTATGCGAAATTTCTTCAGAAATTCGATGACAGAGCTGAAGGACTTCATCTGAGTTTGGCACTCCTCCTCCAAAATTCCAATTAAGCGCGAGCGATCAGTTTTTCCTAAATGCTCTGAGACTTGAACAAAAAGAATAGATCCAAAGGTTAGATAACCTACCATTGGAATTTACTGGAATATTATCCAGATAAACTACCTTTGAAGGATAATGTGTATGGGGAAGAATTTCTCTCAAAGAGCTTCCCAATGGTAAAACAGATACAACGAATAATATTAGGAACTTCTCCTTATACAGTAGAAACTGCGCAAAAGTAACACCATCTAAACTCGCAGCTTGCTCGGAGAGAAAGGCGAGATTGCAACGAATACCATTAACTTTGACCTAAAAAGGGTTTTCAGGAATTTCGTTTTCATTTTGATTCCATAGAAGTGACCCCTGCTTCCGAAAATGCTATATCACAGTCATAGCTGTTAAGCATTGAGAGACAGTGTTATATTGCGTGAACGAAAAGAAAAAGCGAAGGCATGTCCTGTACCTGATCATCAATTCTACCAACAATGAAGAACTCATCGCCTCTTTTCTCAACAATGTCTCCTGTAGGTGTGAACTCACCACTCAGGATACCGTTAATGAAACACTTCCTTGAGCCTCCTACAAAACCTTTTCATTGAGAACAGGAGGGCAAGATAACAAAAAACTTGTAAAAATCTCCAATCACTATTCATTACATACCTATTAGTAGCTCACTATTGGCATTCACAGCTAGCGTAGTGCATTTTATTGGGGGGCCAATTCCTACCTGGCCACTTCTAAAATAGAGAAAGTATCAGGATGTCCAGCTCATGTGAGTTTCTGACTTCTCATGTGTAACTATATATGTACACAGTGCGTACCAAAAGTATGTGGGCACCCTAAAATCGATTCTCAGGGTCGGCTAAAGACGTTTTCTGCCATGGAACCTTCACCTCGTGGTCGATAGCCTATAGCGACAATTTGGGCAGAAAATTTCACAAACTATTTCTGATGGAATTTTTTTTGTATCAAATGTAATGTGGACCCTCAGGCAGATAAACTTTCTGCCGTTACTTATTCGGACATTATTTCTTTTCACAACAGACATTTTTCTAAAAAGGAAACCAAGCAAAGATGTGGGGCCCTCATGTTGCTAGACCTTCCAATTTCGAAAGCGGCCGTGAGTCATCGTTTGTTGGGGAAGAGATCCAGAATCCTGATGCTAAGCTCCCAACACTGATTGAGGGTCGTCTTCAATCGTTACTTGTTCAAAACAACACAAGAATAGCCTGTACTGTCTCAAAATTTCTTTGGTCTGCTATCCGCCTATGCGCATAAATGACTTCCCCTCATAAAATACCACCCGGTGTTCCATCCAACTGAGTGAGCATACGACACGAGAGACTACGTATATGGACGCGCACTACCGTTTGGCAAGGCTGGAATTCCCGTTCCAAAATAAAATCACAACATGGGACGTTGAACCCAGAAAGATAACTCTTTTGACTTTTGAAAACTATTAGACAGGAATAAAAGAGGCTTTGT